TGCTCTTCCGATCTCCCCAAAACCCCAAAACCCCAAAACCCCTCAACCTAAAATTAAAATTTTTATCAATAAAAAATTGAATTAAATAATTAATTTGTTATCACTGTATTTATTCTTTTTAGCTAAAACAATCTAACTTTCTTTCAAGAGCAATAATCACTGCACCGACAAATGCTATAAGAATTCCTGCAAATTAAACAGAAGTAATGTCCTAATGAAAGATAAAATAACTGAAAAGTGTCACTCCAATAGTCTTTGTGTGCATTATAGCAACACTGATACCTGAATTACCTATCTAAACTGCAGTATTAATGCAAATCTGACCCAAACAAATGCAAAACCCGATTAATACGCAATAACCAATATCTCTTTATTGGACATTATTAAATTAGCTTATATCAACTAACAAAGCAATTATTAAACAAGAAACACCAACTACCCCTCCAAAAAAGATATAGTAAAGTGCTGCTTAAAATCCACTAATACCAAATTTAGCCAAGCTTTTAATAAACATTATTTACAACCCAAATAAAAATGAAGCAATAAGTCCTGCTAAAATTGCTAATAATTTGTACATTTCTCTATTTTCCTCTTCTTAGGAGAGTATTGCATGAGGATGTTAGACTTTGAACAAACTTACAATGCAAATAGAAGCAATAATCATCATTACTCCTACTAGTTGGGGTATGTTTATTCTCTCCTTGTATATAAAAAATGAGCCTATTATTATGAATATTGTATTGCATGAAACCATTGCTACAGATATTCCTTGATTAATTTTAGCTTTTCCAGAGAAGTAAAAAGATGTTGAAAGGATTAATGAACTGAAAAACTCAATAGATCCTCCAATTAATATTAAAATTAGCACATACCAACTAAACTTTTTCTCAGTCTAATCATCATGTTTAATCCACCAAGGAAAATTGAACGATTCTCCAATTCTGCGTGAATTTAAACATTCACTAATGATGTAGATTGCTCCCACAATTAAAAATGATAATGTAATTAAGTAATTAGTAGCAAAGATATTGGCACTTTACTTCCCACGAAGGACTAATGAACTTCCAAAAAACACAGCTGCTCCGATAGCAAATAGGATGTATATAGTTTAATGCTTATCGATAAAACTCTATTATTGTTTTGATATAGTTTCATAATTTTCCCTTTACTTTCACATTATGAGAGGTTCATGCTACTCTAAGTCATCTTCATTATCCTTTAATGCTTATTTTACTTATCTTTACTGTTCACTATCATGATATTCATTTAAATTTTTAGTTTGATCTTTTTCTAATATTGCATTTTAAATATCAACTGTTGGAGAAAAGCCGTGTTTTGATAATTCAGTTTCTCCACATTAAGTTTTTTGCATTTAAATTTATTATTTATCAATTTATAGGCTGTCTCTACTTTATTGATTTTTTAAGTATGGGGTTTTGGGGTTTTGGGGTTTTGGGG